AGTTACAGATTCACAGCTTGTTCCTCTCCTCAGAGTGTAAAGACAATCCTACACCATTGCATGGTTTGAATAATCTGGAATCCCACCAAGTCATCCTTCCCATTGCTGCAGTGATACGATTAGGGGCCTTTGTGAGACACCGTGTGTACTTTGGCTTTATTTTGGTATCTAATCAGTTCACATTGAATCAGAATTAGCACTGTAATATGAGGAAATAGACAGCATATTTCTCTGAGAAAACAAAGGCAGGCAATGGTGCTACGTGTGAGTGATAGTCCTTCTTAACTATGCAGTGAAACCATTTTTTTCTCAGCCTGAAACTTCAGTCTTGATTAACCAGTTCTTTCATTTTCTTCTCCTTGTTCAGCCTTAAAAGTTATTTACAAGGTACTTGTAGAAGAGGGTGATTCAGGCTGCTCTAATGCTTGGTTTGTTTTTTGTCTCAGCAAATTGCCTGCTGACCTGCAAGCAGTGGCCAAATCAGACTGAAATTAAAAAGGTGGTGGAATATGCCCCAGTTGCTCCTCAATCAATACCAGTCTAAATTACTGCAAACCTGGAGCCATGGTGCATGTAATACATCATTTTGTAACCCTATAAATTGCTTTTAGCCTGTCTCTTCTGATTTCCTTTTAATGGCCTTTCAGCTAAGATCAAGTGTAGCATCAGTTTCACATCAGCTGTGTACCCTACCCAGGGACCATCTCACACTGGCATTGGGATGAGCTCAGCCAATCTGCTGTAGCTCCTCGATGCTGGTCATTTGGAAGTTGCTCTGAGATGCCTCCCCTTTGCCACTCACATTCAGACAGGCGTTACTGTGAGGTCCTGCACAGGGACTTATCCTGTTTTAAGGAAGGAAGGGAGGTGGAGAGAGGATATTTGAGTTTGGGATTTAACGCCTGGGTTACACAGCTCCAAGGCACTGTCCCTTCCTGTGTTTTCTTTCAGCCAAACAGAGCAGTTTCAGTCCCCAGAAGCCGTGGTCTTGCAGACATCTTGCCATGGCCTCCAGAGACCACAGCTGGGGAGATGATGCTGTAGGTAGTGCACCTCCTGCTCCTGGATCATCCCTTCACTTGCTGGGATCTGTGTGAAACTCAAAGAGCAGGTGTTGAGCCTCCCCTCCTCCTGAGATGGCCCTGCGGCTTGTGCTGAGATGGAAGATGCTCACCATCTGCTAATGTTGCTGGCTTGGCCATGCCGCTCTCCTCCCAGCATGTATGTGCCTGTATCACAAAACACACCGCAAGAGAGTCCCCGACCTGCCTTTATACCAGCCACTGCAGCTGAACTGGAAACATGATGGGCATTGAAAGAGCAGCTTGATCCTCTCCACTGGTCCTTTCTAGAGTCTGTGTCCATGGAGTTATTTTCAAACAGTTTTTAAGAGAGGAGTCAAGCCCAACCCAACCAGAAGCAGGACCAACACTGCATCCCTTCAGACAGGACTTTTGCTTTTTGATGCCTTTCCCCATCCTCAATCTCCTTTGCGTGGCTGTTTGCTCCCAGTTTCAGGAGGCACCTTCTCATTTCCCATGAGACGTGCAACAGAGAGATGTCTACTCGGGGTGCAGTCCCTTCACCTGCACCTTTCCAGCACTTCCCACTTCGGATACCAACTCCTCTGTAAAGTGTGTTCTTCCCTGGCCTTAATTTCAAGGGAGGTGTTGGGAGGATAAATAATAACATGGCCTTTGAGTTAAGCAAATCCCACTATCCCAGACCTTCCTGGACATGAATAGCTGGGAAGAGAAGTCAACTGGAAGTTGGCTACTCTGCTTGCTCCGAACATTAGTTGTAAGTGAAAACTTTTCCTCTCATTTCAGTGACATTTATCCAAGTTTTAAGCAGAGGGGTGGGTGCAAGGCAGCAACCCCCCCCATTTTTACTGTGAATTTTCTTTCCTGGTTATGCATGTAAAGCCAGTCATAGAGCTGGATGGGGCTTCTCATCTGTATCCAGAAGCGGATGTTTCCGGGGGGTCACATTGGAGATGCCAACAATCTCCCCCCTTTTTACCTTTGCTGAGAACCGGTAAATTTAACCATGCCACAAGAAACCAAACTGTGCTCAACAGCAAACAAGAAGTAGATTCATGGTGAAAGATAAGGGGATGAAGGACTCGTATGGGAATGGACCCACTCACCCACCCACCCTCCCTGCAACACCTATGTGCTTCTGTTTCACTATTCCCTGGCAACTGGCTTAAAGAGCTGTTGGAAGAACTATGGAATTAGCTGTAATTAAAGCACTGGTCTGTGTTGGTGCCACGTGCAAGTGAAGCGATTCCCTGGGCTGGGAAGAGACATAATGAACAGAATTACCCATAAGATGCTTACAGTTTGTTGACTTGATCTGTGCAACTTGCAGCACCCAGAAATGACAATGTAGGCTGTGTTGCAAAGAGCTCAAAACACTTTCAGATGTTCAGAGACGGTCAGAGATCAGATTTTCCTATCAGAAGTATCAAACACCTCCTCCTTCCACCAAAACACAACCTTTTAAAGAACATCTTAAGAGGAAAGCTATGCCTCCTGTTGGGGGGCACAAATGCAAATGTTGTATTTCAAGCTGGTGTTTTAAGATGAAAACTTCCCTTTTGGCTCGTTTCCAGTTTTCCCAAGGGAATGCTAGCATTTTCCCACTGGAACTGCTGGCTTCCTTTCAAATGATGTTTAGCTCAGAAGAAAATTAATTTTTCTCTGGGGAGAGTTACAGGGTCAATATCGAAAGCAATAAAACACTTCTGAGACTCTGGAAGGAAATGCTGTGTTTGCCCCTCTGTGTCAATGCCCCCTCACTGCATAAGCCTCTTGTATCCCTTTACATAAAAGAAGGATGCAAAGGGAAGCAGGTGCGCTGGGGGAAGACACATGCAAGCAGTGATGGAGCAACCCATGAGTAACCAGCCTTTATTTTCCTAGGACCTTACAATCAGATGGCAATTTAGGTAAATGAAGCCAGGGTGGGATTTCCCAGCTCTGGCTGTTAAGGGAGAGGGCAACGTAAATGCTTTGAGGCTGCTTTGCTGTTCTTCTGCTGCCTTTCATCAGGAGTTGACAGAAGCTTCAAGGTGGCACGGAGAGGCCATTGCTGTGGCCTTTTCCTCTTGGTGGGCTTCAGGTGGATCAACAGAAGCCACCACACTTTACAAGTGATGCAGTCCTGCCTGTGCAACCAGGATGTTGATAGCATCTTTGGAAGAGGGTACCACTTAGCACTGTTATTGTCCATAGGGAGTCTTAAAGCTCCTCAGATCTTCTGTAACTGAATAAAATGAACATCCAGCTGCAAACTTAATTCCTTTTCTCTCTGAATATCAGGAGCAGCAAGACATTGGCTATAAGCCCCAATGCCTTTTACCTATCTTTATTTGAGACTGAAGTATTTAAAACTTTCTGTTAATAACAGTAAAAAGCCCTCTTAATTAATAGAGCTTGTAACAGCGACACTTGCACACAGAGCGGTTTGACAAGAGAAATTACTTCTGTAGAAACATGATAATGAACCTGTGTGAAGATCACAATCCTGATAGCCATAAAGCACTGCCTCTGGTTTCAATCTGCAGGTTTGACCTTTCACCAAAAATGAATTTTAATAGGCAATTGACTTAAATAATTGGTGTGTGTTCAAATCAATGCTGGAATGTGATGTCTTAGTGGTTAAGGTAATTGAGGTGTATGACAGGCTTTTCAAAAGATTTTCAGATTCAGATCAGGAGGATGATGCCTGGGGAGATCGGAGCTCAGTTCTGTGGCTGCATTACTACTGCATGGCCATCACTTTGGCAAAAGGACCTTTTCACCTCCTCGTACCTCTCCCAGCCCCCCTGCAGTACTCACTCCTGCTTTGTACAAAGGTTATGGAGATGAAGAGGATGTTGTGCTCTCTGGATTGCTATGGGGAGGAAAACCTGGGTGCACATCCACCCCGGTGTAAGTTAGAGCCGCCTCTGGATGCTGTGGCACATCTCAGCCCCTGTGCCTGCCCCAGGCTGGCCACACACAGGGGCTTCAGGGCTCTTGCAAGTAATGCCTGTGTGATCTCTGTGAGCTCACGTTTGCACATGCAGAATAAACCCATGTGTTTGCAGAGCATGATTTCTGCAATGGCACACAAGAAGGTTCCCTTTGCTTGTAAAGCATGGCTGTCAGTCTGGCTTTCATTTATCATTCATGGGTAAGAATAGGGGATGCCTCATAGCACCCCAGCATCAAGCACTGACAGGTCTGTGGTGCAGAAGGCTGCTGAGGACCTGTTCTCTCTTCTGAAACGAATGTAACATCTGCACATTAAAAATGGGCTGAACAGTGAAGGGCAAGACAGCACATCATGGTCTGAGACCTCATTCTGACAGGTCAAGGCTGCCAACCAGCCCTGCTGGCCACCACAGCCGGGTGGCAATGCCAGGCTCTGCCCTTTGTGCCTCTTCCAGTGAGGTATTTCCTCACCAGGTAATTTCTTCAGTGATTTATGAGGCAGAGTAGACTCCATGTTGTTCTTCCATCACTGACCTGGCTCTACAGATAGAGCAGCAGTACTGAGTGTCATTGGTGGTATGGACAGACATGTCCACACTGGTACTGAAGTGCAGAGCGAGATGCAGATGCTTGTATTCATCACATGTATTAATTTTTGTGCTTTGCTGCTGAATCTACCCCTCACATTTTTATATTTCTACCATATAGAAAAGTTTGATTCTTTGCTCAGAAAGAAAGTAAAAACCCCAGAAAACACCAAAAGTATTTCAACTTGGATGCTCTATCAGTGCTTTTCTCTGGGCTGGCCTCTCCATACGTGTTGTCCATGAAGGACCACAACTGATTTGTCATCAAGTCACACATTTCCTCCCTGGGTAATCCAGGGGGCTGGGGGAAGAGCTCTCAGGTGGAGCAGATAGGCTTTGTTTTTGTGCCTTGAATCTAGACCACCTGATAATCATTAAGCACCATGAGTTTATAAAAGGTTCCTCCCCAGCTCAGGTGGATTGTGGTGCGTGAGGAGCTCACTTTGGAGGCTGGCAGAGTGAAGAGCCTTTCCAGAGGAGGAGGTAGCTGTGGGAAGAGGAGCGGCTTGGGACCAGGGGTGGTAAGTCAGGGTGCTGACTGCTTTGGTTTTCCTTCTGCTTGAAATAGCTTGCTTCCCTTTGAGGTTCAGTCTCTAGTTGTGGAGTGCTGAGGAGGAGGAGAGGGCTTGCACCTGGGCAAAGCCTGCTTAAATATGAAGAGGTCTTCTGGTCTCTCAGGGAATATACCTGGGGAGAAGGGGCTGTGCTTGAACTCCTGCAGTTGAAGCAGCTTTCAGTAGAGCTGCTCTATGTGATGCCAGGGAGGTCAGATATTGACCTGAGTTTGTAATGACCACCCAGAAGGGATTTACAAGTATAAAGTGCAGCACTGGCTCTATTGCTAGGTGGCAATGTGGTGTGTGTCCTGGTGTGCTTTCTTTCTGATACGTTTATGCTGGGAAGAGGGGGCTGAGCTGCAGTTCTAGTTCATGTGCTTGATTTGGGGCAGGGCAGCTGGAAGTGGAAGGGCTGTGTACTCTGGCTGTAATATTTGTAACAGCTTCTTCCTTCTTTGTGTTTTGCCTGTCTGATGCTTTTCGGCTGTGGAGAGATAACTTCTGAGGAATGTATAATTGCGTGTTTCAGCTGATCAGGAAAGCTTATATGAAAAAGCAAACCCCACCATCTAGGGGCTTCTGCTGTTGGCTAAGACTGTGTTAAAGCCACCAGGTAATCTCGGAGCAGGTCAGATGAGGTCTTGCAATGCTTTGTGTCTGCCTGGTGGCTATGTGTGTGATGGGGTGGCCCAGGGGAGGACTATGGTGTCCCTGGGGACACTTGGCTCTGCAGTGTGTGATGCTGATGTGCACAAGGGCACTATAGAGAAACCCCATGTCTCCTGGGAGGAGCTGAGCCTGCCAGGGTGCATCTTGCTCCTAACAGACCAGCTTCATTCAAATGGAGTTTTGCTGCATCTTCTGAAGCTAAATTTAAGAGACTATTTGCAAAGAGTTGCCTTTATTTTTAGCCCAGAACAGTTCCTCGTTTGCTCTTGTTGTGCAGCTGCATGTGCAGCTGTACTGGGGTGATAGAGGGAGCAGTGTGGGGCTGGGTGTCACTATGGCTGTGCCCAGTTCACGTGGGGGTTCTGAGCTCTTCATGGGCTTGAAGTGGGGAATGCCTTTAAGACTCTTTATTGAATAAGTCAGCAGGAGCTAAAGGACTGAAGGGAAACATGGTTTGCACATGGGGCTTTTTTAAGAAGTTGTAAGTTCTGTGGAATAGAAAACATTTTTCCTGTATTTGCTCTCAAAATGGAACTGCCGTCAGCTCAAATATTTTTGTGATGCTTCTGTAAATAAGGTTCACAGGTATGACTGATACAGCAATCTATCATCATGCCAAGCGGCTGCTCCACTCTGTGACTGCAATTTGATCCTGATGCAAAATAACTCTTTTAATATATAGGGGAAATAATCATAGCTTGTTTTCCCACAATATTCCTTCTCTGGAAAGATAAAGAAACTGAATCCTTCCATCAAGCCATGTTTCCGCTTAATTAATGCGTGCTGCAGACCCTTTGGAGTTGCCGTTCCCAGGCATGACAAAGATGAGCACAGCAGTGGATGGCAGATGGGTCTGACACAGATAGAAAAGCATAGGGGGAAAAATTTACCCTTTTCTTTTTGAGTAACTGGCCATCCTCAGCAGTGCCTCTGCCATGATGCTGCTGAGATAATCTATCTTCTACAGCCTGAAAACTGGTAGGGTTTGAGACTGACAGCGTGGAAAATAGGAACTGTCTTGGCATTGAGCGGGCTGGCAGGGAAACATCTTCCTGGGGGTGGGATTGACAGGGCAGTAAAACCAATTACCATGGCCCTGGCCTCGGTTTGCCAGGGCTGTGCTTATGCAGACAACACTTCTGATTGCAGTGGCTCTGCTTGAGCCCAGGTGAGAGGCTCCCATATGTTGAGGCTGCTGTGATATTGCTGTATGGAGTCACTTTGAAGTAATGCTTCTTGCTGCTGTGCATTATGTACTTGAGCTGTATTCCAGTGCTGAAGTGATGCCTGGAGGAACAGTGCCTTCTGGAAACATCATTCCACTCCTCTGTCTTCTGGAAAGTTCATTGCTGCCTTGACAAAATTCAGGTTTTATTAAAAATGATTAATGTCTATGCATTTAATCAAGGAGTATTCACACAGCAGTGGCTTTACTATAATAGCTTGATTTTAAACAGCTTGTGTCCTGATGCGTGAGGTGCGTTATGTTATTTGACAGCAGTGACATTTATATTTGTAATTACTAAATGGTGGTAATCCATTGGAAAGCCTGCCCCACTTGAGGGAACAAAATGGATGGAAACGTACAGCAGTGAAAAAGCACAAAGTGCCACCATACATCAGGGCATCCTGAGATTAAAAAAGCCAGGGATGACATTTTCCCACCAAACAAAAGCACATCCATGTTGCCAAATAAATTGCTGACTTTTAACTGTTTCTTTTGTATTCATGAAATATTCTCGTCCTGCTTATTGCCTGACACAGTTACGTCTTCATTTCAGAGCACAAGAGCATCTTGAAAGCAGATGATGTCATGTGCAGGAGTCATGGGCCTCCCGGGGTTTGATTACAGAATGCTGAATAATTGGGCAAGTCAAGCTGGAATAGAGAACCCAAATCTGATATAAATCTTGATAAATTGGTAGGGGAAAGATGTTTGGAGCTGCTGTTTTTAAGGTGCTGAGAGGTAGGATAAACTTAGCTGGCACAAGCTATTTTGAAAGTGGCATTAGACTATTAACACTTTGCAGATATGATCTCTCCTCCTGCAAGAGGGAGCTTTATCAATGCATCTTCCATTGGGGAAGTAGGGAAAGGAGATGTTGTTAGGCCTGCTGGTAATCAGTGGTACTTATCACCCAGTTAACAAGAGCTGTTGGAGGAAATTGCTACCTGAATTGTGCACATGTAGTAAGAACAGGGAGATCTAAATGAAATCCATAACTTGGATGATTTGTGTCACCCACTAGGATGCCTGGTGACACTGGGCTGCTCTTATCCCTGTCACCAATCTCCTTTTCTCATCTTCACGGGTTATTAGAGCATTTTCAGTCCAGTTTGGGTCTCAGTCTTTGCTGCACAACAGTTCATAGGAGAAAAACAGACCTTGCTGGACCTGCACAAGATGCAGAAAACCTCCTGCAAGAACTGCTCCTCTGGAAGATTTAACCCTTTTAATCTCCATTTGCCCTCCAACAACCTCCGAGTTGAGTGCTGAGCATCTGGCTTTGGTGCAAGAAGCATGGACAGGACCTGGGGACCAGGCAAACCCAGAAGCATGTGGGAGAGGCTTTTCCATATTAGCTGGATTATTAAGGTGAGACAAAGTTCTAATGCTACCCCAGGTCATTGCAGGATCTGACAAGGTGGTCTTCAGAGCAGGGGGCCAGCACACAGAGAACACAGGTCCTCTGCTGTCTCATGGTGCTAGAGCCAGGCCTTTAGCAGTCAGCATAGGTGCTGCTCAGGACTTTGATACATCTGTCTATTGTGGGTGTGTGATTCTGCCAGAAAGAGTCTGTAAATGCAGATTAAAGCTATCTTGGTGCACAAGGGAGCTGGGCTTGCCTAGCTGTGATGGTGTACACCCATCTTGATGGTGTCTAGACATGAGCAGAGTCTTGTGTTATTGCAAAGCTCCAGTTGCTGTAAATAACAGTCTTGTGACTTCAAGTTTGTGTTGCACCTGGATTTTTTCCGATAGTCATAATAGATATTTTCCCTTTCCTTGTGTATTGGATATATCTCCTTTTCAGGTGGTAATTTATGCTGATTGCAGCTCATCAGTCTTGCATCTTGCCTGCCACAGGGTTTCTTATACTTTCTAATTTACTGGAGGAAGAGTGTATTGACAGTTCTCAATGAATTCCGCAGTACAGGAGGTGCATGTGGTGCCGAATCCTTGCAGAACAGTGAGTTCCAGAGAGTCAGACAATGCCTAATGGTTTTATACTGATGTAAATGCTTCATTATAATAATCCAGCAATGGCAAAAGTAGTAAAAGACTTATGGTAGTCCTCTTGTTCAAAATAAAAACACTATCAAAAATAAGCAACCTATCTATCATCTTGCCATAAGTTCTTTGATGATAGCACAATCTGTCCTTTAGATGACACTGAAGTTCCTCTTCCCCAGTGGTTTTCTAATCAAATTTTGCTTTCAGGAATGATCTATAAACTCTATCAGTATTTATGTAAAAAGAGGTTGATGATTCAAGAAGAAATGAAATATTTAGGTAAGACTAATCCTGAAAGCATAGCTGCTTTAGCTGTAATTATTCATCTTATGACATGGAAGTATTTGGTTGGCTACAAACTTTTCCTTTGGAAAAATCTAGTTCCATTGGAGTTTAAAATATTAAAGGGAAATAAAAAAGAACAATTTTTAGATAGGAACAATCTGGAAATAGAAGTTAATGGCATTTAAAACAAAGGTAAAATGCCACATGTCTGGCATGGGAACAAAAATAAAGCTGTGTTTTGAAAGTGGTCCCTGACCATATGTGCATACTTAGTGCAGCTCTATGGTTGCTGTCCAAGATGTCCCTGTAGAGCAGTAAGACAGTGCAGTCACATTGCCTTTCTCAGTCTGGGAGAGATGCTCTGATGGTCCTTTTCATCCTGGGATAGATTAAAACTTTAAAGGCAAGAACTGCCTGTAGGGCATCTTCGCAGCAAAGAAAGTACTGGTCTCTCTAAGGTGCCCTTTGGAACCTGGTGGGTCCCCTTCATCCCATGGGTGCTAAATCCTCGTGTTCCTGTGTCATTCTGGGCTAAGGCCACTGCGGAGCTCTTCTGCTCTAACAAGCATCAGCATGTGCCTTGCTCTGCCCATGATGCAGAGTTCTGTGGCTGGCAAGTTTTGCTTGTCTATAGTATTTCCATACTGAAGCCTGATCGCTATTGTGGCAACCTTGAACTTTTGTGGTTTGTCATCTTCCAGATGAAATGATTCAGTCTGGCACAAGGCTGGTGAGGCACTGAGCTGATTGTGAATGTGTAGCTTGTATCAATAAGGGAAATTAAATAATTCCTCAAAACCATGCAACGTGTCAGTTCTGCCGCAGTTCAGTCAGCTCTTTGTTTTCTTGTTGGCTTTTTATAGTTGAAATTTCCTTAAAGTGCATTGTGGAAATCATGCTCTGCTCAGTTTGGGGTGAACGGTGCACAGGCTGGGCTTGGGGCTTGAGTGGGGTGAGTGACTGGAAGGGATCAGTAGTCCTTCAAGTGCAAGGTCCTGTGAATCCTGCTGGGAAATAGATATAAAGTAAAAAGGTTTTAGTGAGCAACTTAATGTATGAAATTAAAACCTACCCAGGTCTCAGGCACACAGATCCTTGAGAGCACATTGAATTCCTATCTTGTGAAAACCCTGAACAGGGTTTCAAAGGAGTACACGGACATGAGGCGAACAGCACAGAGCTCAGGTAACTGTACAATAAACCTGTGGTCTGGAAGATGCACAAAGTATCTGTCATATCCCTACAGATCTGGGGATTAAAATACAGCAGGTCTTGGAGGTTACGAGAACTCCAGCATGAGCTGTTCTATCTCCTGGGGTCAGATGTGCTGCTGGCATTTTTTGGTACCCAGCTGTTGTGGTTTAAACCCAGTCACCCACGCAGTTTCTACTCCCCACCCCCACTCCTGGAGGGATGGGGAGGAGAATCGAAAGAATCTAACTCCCATGGGTTGAGATAAGAACAGTCCAGTAACTAAGGTATAACACAAACCACTGCTGCTGCCACCAGTAATGATAATGATAAAGGAAATAACAAGGGAAGAGAGCATGATACCACCCGCCGAAACGTGCCCTACTGAGAAGAGAGTTCCCTTCTGGGTAACTCCCAGTTACCCCCCTGGGCATGACATGCTGTGCTATGGAATACCTCTTTGGGTCAGGTGTCCTGTCTCTGCTTCCTCCCGGCCTCCCCTCCTCCCTGGCAGAGCATGAGGCTCACAGAGTCCTATGGCCAGTCTAAACATTACTGAGCAGTAACTAAAAACATCGGTGTTATCAGCACTGTTCCCAGGCTGAAAGTCAAAACACAGCACTGCACCAGCTACTAAGAAGGAGAAAAAATGACTGCTACTGCTGAACCCAGGACACCAGCCCTGCCCTTTCATAGGCAATCTGGGACTGGACTGAACAGGCTGGGTAGATCCTGAAGATGGCAACTTCCCTGGCTTAAACGCCTTACAATGCACCTGATTTCTGCTCCTTGGCCAAACCCTTTTGTGATGCAGGAGGGTGCTGGAGTGGAGATAAAGGCCTGAGGATTTTATTAGACTAAATATGAATGATAAAATTGCATTAGCATTCCTGCAGTTGTATAATTTAATGTTAAGATTCTATCAGTTTTATCCTGCCCCTCTACATTTTTAATTTTTCAATATGTTAAAGCTGCTTCTCCCCTTTTCCTTAAAAACTTGCAATTGCTTCATGGAAATAGTGAGAAGGTGACTGAAAAATATCAATAGCTTTGCAGATGTCACTGGGGCTTTTGGTATCCACACAAATAGCTGTGTTAGGGTCAGGGGAAAAAGGGAGGTAGCTGGAAGTTTGCCTGTCTTGATTCAAAGAAGAATCCCAGTCCTGCTCAGGGAACTTGCAGGCAGGTACTGCTGCTGGGATGTGCTTGGGCAGCATCCCAGGGGAAAGATGGTCATCAGTGAAAAAATAAGATGTTGAAGCAAGAGCAAACAAAGTCCACGCCAGGCTGCTACTGGCAGTGCCACTGTGTCATCCTCTCTACAAGACAAGATGGCCTTGAATGAGGGATGCCTACTTCTCCCTGCTCTCCTGTAGGAAAACTTTTCCAGACTTACCCTCATCTAACACTTACACAACTAACAACTGAGTTTGTGCTGGAAATTAAATCAGAATTCCTCTTGTGCTAATGCTGGTTTTTGTCTTGCACATTGTTGGTGGAGGCAGGGGTCACTCCAGCTCTCAGTGTAAAAATAGGCAGGGTCTGATGCTAGTAATCCCCTTGATCTGTTAAGACTGTAATTGTATGCCTGGTTTTTCATTTTTCCAACCAAAATGAGCTATTTTTAGCCTCTTTTTGTGCGATTAACTAAACAACACAGCTTTTTGTACCTGTTCCAGTCTGAATTAGAGTTTTACTGAATTGGGATGCCTGGGCTCATCCTGGTTTTCAGATCCCCTACTGCTACCTGAGCAATGACACTAATCTCCAGCTTCTCCTGAGCACACCTTCTGTAATAATCACAGAAACTCATTAGCCTCTCTTGTGGCCCAGCCGTATCATTGGCTTATTCTATCAACAAATACACAGAGGTTGTCATCTTCCCAGGGGCTATCTGTTACACTCAAATAGAAACTATTTTTTCCTGTGGGTTATATTTTATTCCTGTCCCTGTTCCAGTAATTTCCTTGAAATGAATACATGGTGGTTTCAGGATCTCTGCAGGCACATGGCAGACTTGCATGTACAGTGTGTCTGAGAAGCATCTCTTGCAACTGAGAGGGTGAAGGATATCAGTCTGAACATGTTGATATTGTCCAGCAAATCTGATGCCTTGGTAGCAAGTCAAAGCAGCTGTGTTAAGGTTAGCGTCTGGCTGCTCTGAATGGCAAGATGTTGAATGTTTACTGCATAGATGCTGGGGAGATGCCTCCACGGTGATGCTCTCTCTGTATTGGTATTTCTACAGACCTTGAAGGTGTTCGGTGGGAAGGTTGGTGTGGGCTTCGTGGTCTTTTTCTTTGCCTGATTTAGGAAATGGCTGTTTACCTGACATGGGAATTTGAATACATGAAGGTGGATCTGGGTTTAACCACTGTTCACTGCCCTTCACTGCTTGGAGATTGTGCTGTTGTCTCTTTTTGAGATGTAAAATCGGAAGGTTCTTCCGTCTCTTGTCAGGAAGGCTTAGAGGAGGCATTGTCATGACCTAGTGAGCTGTGTGGAGCTGCTTGGGTTTGCATGGTCCAGTCTGGCCCGCTGCATTTCATCTGTCACAGTTTGAAGCTGTTTAATAACTGTGACAGTTCTGCAAAATCAAATGCAAAGCAAATACATTGTACAGTCATTCTTAGTAGTACCAAATGATGCTTACTAGGTGAGGTTGCCTCAAGCACCCCAAATTGGCCACTTGTAGCAAGCTACAGTTTTTTTTCTTCTTGCAGTAGATGAAGTAACACACAGGGCATCATCTCTAATCATCAGGTCAGTTCCTGTGAAAGAAAATCTGATCAAACCCTTAATTTCTCTTCAATTGATTAGATAGCACAGGCATGTTGAGAAGACACTTATAAAGACCACTTCAACCTTAATAAATCCCAGAGAAAAAGCAACAGTTCTTAATTTTCCAGTTGGCTACATAGAATTTGTTAAAGCTATATTCTATGAAAATTGGCTCACCCTAGAGAGCTTCCAGTCAATCACATGCCTTAACAAAGGGCCTCAGTAAAGCAGCAGATAAGCACTGAAGACATGAATGGCTGAGTGTGGTACATGGTTTAAAAATTACTTATTAGAAGAATTTAGTGCCCTTGTGAGTGATACTGCTCTTTAGTGCTTTTGGTGCTCTCCAGAAAGGAGACCTTAGTATTGGCAGCAGGAAATACTAATTGATTCAGCCAGGATGGGTATGTTTTATATCACAAATTACTTGGGGCTTATTCAGGGTCTCAAGAGCAATTTCTTGCTTTCATTTTTCTGTATTGGTACCTAGCCATTCAAAAAGGCAGTGGGGCCTGTGCAAAGTGCATGGTGCTTGTCAATAATGTGAGGACCCACGGATGTTCGAGTCTGTTCACATCCCCCAAAGAGTCAATCCATGCAAAATGAAGCTGCTCAGAGCACAGTACCAAGGCACAGCTATTTTTATGGGCTCCCATTTGTAAATAAAGACCTTTTCCACTGACTTCAGTGAATGGTCTCGTTCCTTCCTGGAGCAATTACCTTATCAGCAGTGTGAATGTACAAGTTCCTCACAGTTTTCTTTTGTGGATGTCTTGCTATAAATCTGCTTTAGATTGCTGTTGACTAAACTGATACCCATATAGAGGGGAGTCTTGCAGAGGAAGGGTATTGTGGAAGGAAAATGGGATGCTTTATGTATGGGGATGATGCATTCACCTTCTAGCTGCTGTTTGTGATTCCAGGGCTGCGGTATTTGTAGAACAGTCCTTTCAATATTTGCTAAACCTATCTGCAGTATTGGGTAGGGTTTCCTTTTCTGTTGAAATAGCTACTGAATGTATGCACAGAGATGTTTCCAATAGGATTATTTTATAAAGCAAAAAATAAACTGAAGTGCTGTTCAGCTTGAAAAACATACTGGCTTTTTCTTGAATTCCTACTGAATATAGAAATTTGGGCTATTCTTAAAGGTTTTTTCCCCCTTACAAGGCCAAGTCTGATTGTCTGATCTCAGTGCCATTTTTTTTGCTGACTTCAAGGAGCACTGAATCCTAGTTTGTAACCACAAACTTTCTACTATGTGAATTCGAAGTAGTAATTAAAATCTAAATGGGCTGTTTCTGACTGAGGTCGGTGGACTTCAGACACTGTAACTGCTGAAAGGAGCATCTTTTAATCGGCTGGAGCTGAGCTTTGTTCCTCTTTGGGACTTGGGGGAAATGGGAGTTCAGTAAAGAGGATTGTTGAGGACAAATATTCTCTTCCCCACATTTGTTGCTCTTGGTGAAAGCAGGTGAATGAAGGTTGTTCTCTGTGAAGAGTGGGGTGAGTCCCACAGAACATGTTAGGAAACTGAAGGTGTGGTTTCCTTTCCAATTTGTTTCTCATGGCTTGAAAATGAGTCCAAGTGGAAAAGTTAAGGGAAACTTCCTCTTGATCTCATGTTTTGGTTTATACCACTAGGAGTGCAGGCAAACACCTATGAAAATCACTAAAATCACTGTCTTGATGTAAACAGTAGCATAGTCTTAACTTTGTCTTCCATAAGGGTGTGTGAGCAAATGATTTCCCACCTTGAGCAATATGTTCTCAAGGGCAGGTTGGAAGCACTGGAGAGTTTTGCCTCTGCTGCAAATATCACAATAATGAAAACTTCAAATCTTTGCTGAACTCCAGGACAATTGGATTTTTTTTTTAATGAAAAGCAAGTATATTTCTATCTCTTGTAGATAGAAACCTTGAGCTAAGTATAGCCTAAAGCATTTAAACAGACGGTAGATGAAAATAATGCAGTGGTTGGAGCTCTTTTAATAATGACTCTTAGGGCTTAATTCATGACTTTTAAGCTCTTGGGGTGGGAAGTCTGAGGACTCCTGGGGTCTAAGGCACATCAATAACAGTAATAGCCTCTCTATGGATTGATGAGCTTAACTGAGAAATGAAGGAAACCAGCTGTGTTCAGTAATGATGGCAGATACATCACAACTCTTAAGCAATGCTCTGTCTGCAAGTACC